TGGTGAGCTGGGCCCGCGGTGCCCGTGGGGCCGTCTACTAGACGGCCCGTCTAGCTAGATGGTTGTTTCCTGTATCTTGGGGCACATCTGAAGAGGACATGTTCGACAAGCTCGAGGGCTCCATGCGGTTGGACTGGATCCTCGAGCGGTGGGAGGTCAAGGGGCTGCCTCGCCTGGTGAAGCCCTTCAACGAGAATGGTGAGCCGCAGATCTTCAGAGCGAAGTCCAACCAGCGCACGCAGATGACAGCCAGCAGAGCGTACGCCAAGAGCTTCCTCAGCCAGGGCGTCGTGACTGGCGGTGTGACGGGCTCGATGTGGCTCAAGCTGTCCAAGGGCAACGTGCCGCCGTATTGGGCCATCACGTGGGGCACCAGAATTTGCGACACGTTCTACGGCGTCGCGGCCAAGCACAAAGATAACAGATTCGTGAAGTACGCCATCGAGCACGGCTTCAAGAACGTCATACTGATCGACGCGAACATCGACATCAAGCACGAGGTCTGGATGAAGAACTACCACAACCAGTTCCACGACGGCAGCGAGGTCACGTTCGACGAGATCATATCAGATGCGTGTGGCCTTCGCGCGCTGTGGGGAACGCATGTCGAGGGCACTGGCATGTGCAACCGCGGCGAGGCCGAGGACGAGGGCTACTTGACCAAGCAGTGGACGTTCATGAAGGACAAGCAATTGGCCGCCCACTTCAGGGGCTCTCAGAACAAATTCCTCAAGGCGAGTAGGTTGGCCACCAAGCTCAGCACACTCGGCATCAAAGATGGCGTGTCTGCATTTTTCGGCGAGTTCTGCGACTACTTGCACAAGGAGTTCTCGATCCACTCCGTGATCTCCGACATGCACGATGTCTCCAGGGCGATGGTTGGAAGGCTGGACTTCGTTAATGCATCTCCCCTCCCTCTTACTCTTAATCTCCACCGCCCTCAATCTCAGAAGACGGGTGACAGTTAGGATTCAGGTCCGGGTCTCTGGTTTGATCTAGCTTGGTGTGTTTGGGCTCCTGGGCATGGGGTGATGAGGCGTCCTGTGTTCCACTAGTCGGAGGATGGCAAGGGGGAGGAAAGGGGGTGGGGGAGGATGGTTTGTGTCCGTCGCCCAGGTTGCGCGGCAAGGTGTCTGATAAGATTGTGGGTTGCATGGTTTTCGAAGCGATGAAGTTCACAGCCCCGCTGGCAACCGACGAGTCCGATGACGTTGTGGTGCCCTGGGTGTTCACCCCGAAGTCTGTCCTGTCCCACGCGGCCCTGGTCGAGCTTCTCTCCTACCCGATGAAGGGTGCGAAAGTCTTGTCGGCGCTGAAGGAGGCGTCTGGCGAGCAGACGGGCAACGGCGGCAAGGGCAACACTGGCGGCAAGGGCAACACTGGCGGCACTGACGCAGGAGCTGAGACTGGTGGCCGAAGTAAAAAGGCGCAGAAGCTCAAACAGGTGGCCGACGTCAGCCAGTCCAAGCCACCAGATGCTTGGAACATCGGCCACGCGGGTTCCGAAACGAGGGAGATATACATATACATATGCATACACCTATACATGTAGACATACGTACACATTTACATATACATATACAACTACATGTACTCAGAGTTGGTTAGATAGTTTTCTGGTTACCAAGTGCCTCGTCTCGACTAGGATGCTCTTTCGCACCCCCCTAGGAATCACATCTCAGGTGTCTTTTTTTCCGAGAGGGCCGGGTCGACGGTTGCTTGCCAACTTGGTAGGACAGGGGGGTGTGGGCGACCGTAGTTCTGAATCCATGGGGCTCCCTTTGGGTTTCAGAGTTGCTAATTGTGCTCCCTCAGCCAGGCGATGGCAGCGACGTCGTGTGCATGGATGTGATCGCTCACCTCTTGAGGTTCCACGTCGGCACGGTGAACTACGAGCCTGGCGGCGCGAACGTCCTCTCCTACGCGGTCCAGCGTTGCCTGGAGTTCGTGTGGCAAGGCGCTGTCATTCTCAACGGCAAGCAGACATCTTCTTATTATTCTGTCTACGTGAGCCTCGCGAAGATGCTTATCGACCAGCAGACGGTCCAGGGCAAGAGCATGAAATCCAGCATTGGCAACATGACCTCAGTAGATACCACCGACGACAGGCACTTGCTGTCTGAGGCGTTCGGGGCACTGATCGACGACGAGACCAAGTTCATCGCGCTCAAGGCTTTCGCGAACCAGTTGCAAGGGATGGTATGCCCACTGAGTCAACATCCAACATTGCAGAGCGTCCTCTTCAGGATCATGACGGACACAGAGATCAGTGGCAAGATGAACAAGGACGACCTCGTGCACGTCTTGCTTCGCGCCGTCAGGGCTGCTTTCCCCGACGAGTGGATGGCTGCTGTGAAGGAGGTGGTGGGCCTGGAGAAGATGCCAACATGTGTGTCCATGATTTGGAAGACCTCCTGCGAGGCGTTGCAGTTCGCGTGCTTCCACTCGCTCGTCATGCTGAAGGCCGTCGAGTTCTCGCTGTCGAAGGCTGGCGTGGTTGTGGAGACCGACGAGCTGCGCAAGACTAACTTGTTGCATCAGATTGCCAACCTGAAGGTCGACGAGGCCGACGCCCTCACCGCCATCGGCTCCCACGACGTTCACGCCTCCGATCAGAAGGAGTTCTGGCTAGATGTGCTGTTCGACAAGATGGGAGGCGACGGATCTTTCCTGTCCAATCTGAAGGCGTGGGCCCCCGCGGCCCAGGAGACGGAGGAGGGCCAGTCGGTGATGAAGGAGCAGGCGCAACTCGTGAAGGTCAAGAAAGAGCTCATAGGCGAGGGGGGCAAGACCCAGGGCAGCTTGGCCAAGCCCCCCGTCGAGAAGCAAGTGCTGGCGACTGAGACGACCACGCTCGCTAAGCTGTACCAGTTCTCTACCGACGGCGCACTGTCCTCGGAGATGGAGTTGCCGACCGTGAAGTTCCTAGAGGCCGAAGTTGAGAAACAAATATGGGCGTATTACAAGACGCACAACACGCATTGGAAGAACATCAACGTCAGCTTCCGTGCGTCGGCCAAAGATTCTTTGAAACCATCCTTGAGCATCGATATGACGAGCGAGGTTCGGCTTCCTTTTGCAGGCTCTGTCACGTCGTTGCCGAATTCTGGTGGCATCCACCTTGGAGAGGTCAGTGGCATCGCCATGTACCTGGTGGGCAATTCGTCGCTCTTCGCGGAGGTCGTGGTCCCCGCTTTCAACGTCAAGGTCGTCGAAGCCAACGCCTCGATGGAGGTCTACTGGCACGACCTGAACATCAAGCTCTCGGACGAGCCGCCGAAGAAAGCGTCGAAGCCCGCCCAGCACCAGCAGCAAATCAAGGACCTGATGAAGCGCACGGCGACCCTGAAGGTTCGGGCCTACTTCCTCCTCTCCTAGGCCGGAGTGAGGAGGAGGAGGAGGAGTAGGAGGAGGGGGAGGAGGAAAAGGAGCAGGGCGTTCTCCTCCAGCCCTCCTCCCCCTCACTTGCCTCTTCCTCACCCCTCCCCCTGCGGGGTGGGTTGGGGTGAATAGGCATGACGAGCAGGAGCATGAGCACGAGGAGCAAGGGGGAGGAGGAGAATGAGGAGGAGGAGGAGGAGGAGGAGGAGGAGGAGAGGGATGGAGGGCATACAAGCTAAAACTCATGTCTAGCAAGGTGCCTGTCCTGAAGCCCTGTGCTTCCACGAGTGCGAACCCGATCGCGAAGGATACCGAGCCGTCTCGTTTGGCCTTGCCTGGCGAGATTCCTAAGAGGAAGAGGGCCAAGGGTGGCGATTCCGCGCCAAGGCCGACGGTTCGTTTCGGTGTGAGTGCATACAAGCAGGCGTTGGCCGACTCATTGGCTGACACTGCCAACAAGAAGTTTAAGTCTGACGGGGGTCCCGAGAGCGAGGCCGCGCCGCATGGGGTTTCAGTCGATCCCAAGGGCGGCCTGGACTCGTCTATCGTCAAAGCTGGGAAGCACCTGCTTCGCTGACCCGTTGCAGTATCCATGGGTGGGGGGATGGGGAGTCATAGTCATTAGAGTTCAAAGGTTGAGATTTGGAGATTTGGAGGTTGTACACCACCATCGCCACGGGTCAAGTTCCAGCGCTGCGATGCGGTAAGCGTCCGTCTGTGTCTTAGGTTGTCCGTGTATTGTGACTGTGGGGTTTCGCAATGTTCGGCCGCCGTCGTTTGGACAGGAGAGGCCCGCGCATCGCCAGCGCATTTCTGTTTGGCGCTGGTGCGCGAATCGTTCGTTGCAGCGTTGCACTTTGCTTTGCATTTTCACTGGCAATGCATCGACAATGCATCGATGCATCGCGGCATCGCATGCGTTTGTCCGTACGGCCCGTACGGCGCTTGACATACATTGCCCGCGTGCGCGGGACTGTTAGCAATTTGCACAACATCAAAGAAGGGAGGTTGATGCACTCGTTATGTTATGAGGACGCGCACGCGGGCAATGAGGTTCGTGGAGAACGTTCTGCTATCGATCGTCCTCGCTCTGAGTGTGCATTGTCTGGCAGGCCGTCTGGCCTGCTCACTGCTCACTGCTCGCTTGCAGTGCAGCTGGGCAAAGATGCCTACTGATCCTGCTCATCCACCCCCGCCGCCTCCTCTCTCCGCCCCTCCTCTCTCTCTCTCTCTCTCTTTCTCTCGCTCCCTCCCTCTCTCCCTCTCCCTCTCCCTCTCTCTCTCTCTCTCTCTCTCTCTCTCTCTCTCTCTCTCTCTCTCCTCTCCCCGACTCCGAACTCCCCTCTTCCCTTGCCTCCTCCCCGTCGCCCTCGCGAATCTCTTGCCCGTGCCTTACTTTCGGGGGCACAAGTCAGCTGCCGAGGCTGTCGAGATCTGCCCTCGGCCGAACGACCCATTTCGAGCCTGATAGCATGATATCTCCAGCCATCCGTCACCCCGTCACCTTGGCTTTGCGCGGAGGGGGGAAACGATTTCGGAAAGCTGGGCCCCTGCCTCAGCCGTCTTAGGCCCAAGGTCCGCACCCGACTCCGACTCCCCGAGACCCATCGCCCATCGCGATGCCTGGCCTCTCCGACACCCCTAGTCTTTGGAGTATTCGGAGCATCTGGGACTACACACCAGAGGAAAAGGAGTCCAATAGGATCTACAAGGACCTCGAGGACAAGAAGAGGGCACGTGCACAGGCAAAACGGGAGGCCAACGAGGCGGCCACAAAGAATGGGTCTATCGTTATCGACAGTGATGATGATGGCGGTGCGGTGAGCTTGACCCCTATTAAGTTACCTACTAAACCTCGGGGCCGACGCTCGCGCGAAGCGGGTTGATCCCAACAACCTGGGGATGGCCCCCTCCCTTCTCCTCTTTACCGTGAGGAGGGGAATGAATGAGGGGATGAGGGGGGGGGGTCATCCCCAGGTTGGTGGGATCAGCCTTCTGAGCGCGCGCGTCGGCCCGCTCTAAGAGGCTGCCGCGCTGCAAGTACATAGCGCACCCGTGCCACACGTGGCTTCCCAAACTGAAGAAGTCACATTTCAAGTAGATAGTTCGGCTCTCGTGCACGGAAGAATCAGACCGTCGATCGCGACTGTGTGGGGAAATGACAGCATAGCGCCGCATGTAATTTGAACCGAACATCGGCGTAGGTGCCCATCGGCGTTTTTTGGGGGGTGCCCATTTTGTCCAGATGACTTCCCACATTGCCTTAGTATTAAGCATTGTTTGGCCATCAGGGGGGATACGAATCGAGGGGGCAAGGAGTGCTGCAAGCTCATGTATGCATACCGTGTGTACTTGTTATCGAAGACGCCTTCGGCGAATCACCACCATTCCTGCCCTTCTGGAAACGCCTGCGTGGTATCGCGTGGACGGTGGGGGGAGGGGTGAAAAGGAGGATTGGGGAGGAGGGGTAACGAGGATGAGGAGGCGAAATGATGAAAGAGGAGGAGGAGGAGGAGGAGGATGATGAGGAGGAGGAGGAGGAGGAGGAGGAGGAGGAGGAGGAGGAGAGTGGAGGAGGAGAGTGGAGGAGGATGAGGAGGGCAGAGGAGGGCAGAGGAGGAGGAGGAAGAGGAGGAAGAGGGCGGTGTGAAGCTTCTAGACGTGCTTCACATCGGTCTTGCCTCTCAAGAACAAGGGTTACGTGCATTAGCAGCCCTCCAAGGCCCTTACATCTTTACCGCGCATCGTTATCAGAGTGAGGGGGCCGAACGGTTATTCACTGTCCCTGGGTGCGTGGCTGAAGTGGGCTTCCGCGGTGCAGATTGAATTTTCATTTTTAAAGAAGAAGTTAAAAATATTGTTGTTGATCCCCCCTGCCCAGTAACCTTTGTATTCTTTCATTGAAAGTGTTCCTTCTGGGGCTCGCACAGTGTTTTTCACAAGAGAAAGCGAGGTGTCACCAAACTGTGTTGAACCCCCGATTACAACAACAGCGGCTCCCGCCCGATACTTCCTCACAAAGTATTCCCAAATGGCGCCCTCGCGCTGGACTTCCTCACAACTTATACTACAGGAATCGCGGTCTCGCGAGGTACTTCCTCGCCATTTATTCAGACGCGGCGCCCCCGACACTCAGGAATCACGCTCTCGCTGTGGATTTCCTGACGATTCATTTGGGAGTCGCGCTGTCGCTCGAGACTTCCTCGCAAGTCATGCAGGACGCACTCTTCAGCAACCCGCCTGCCCCGTGTCCCTTCCTTCCATCCGTCTTCTCTTCCTCTGCCTTAGGGGCTGCACGAAATAACAGTTGCAGGTAACAAATCTGTAGCCCTAATGGGGTACGGTCAAAGACGAAGACGGCGGGTATCGAGGGTTTGGGATATACGTGTTGAGTGGCACGCGAGCGGATAAGAGCGACCAGTCTTGAAGCGATTGTTGTTGTTGTTGTTGGTGGTGGTGGTGGTGGTGGTGTTGGTGTTGGTGTTGTGTGTGTGTGTGTGTGTGGGTTCTTGTTTGTTGTTTGTTGTTTGCTGTTTGTTGTCGTCGTCCCGCCCGCGACCCAGCCCGCGACCCACCCGCGACCCACCCGCGGCCGCCTCCTCTTTCCGACCCCATCTATTCCGACCCCATCTCGTCCGCAGCTGCGGGGTGCTGCACTCTACGGGCCGGCTGCAGGTCGGCCAGTGGGGCCAGGGTCGCGCCGGTGGGGACGGGGCGCGGCCGAGCTCCTGCCCCCAGCGGCGAGGGCGCGCCCCCCGCGCGCAGCTCGGGAGCCGCACCGTCCTCGCGGAGATCGCCGACACCGCCGGCGGCGCCAGCTCCGCCAGCCAGCGGAGAGCCCCATCGTTCCGCGCCGAGGGAAGACATTTTTTGTCAAAAATGATATATTTACATATATATATATATATATATAGCATTCATATTGTTATTCTGAAAGTGATTATGATTATCATTATTCTTATTATGATATCATTATATTTATTATTATTATTATTATTATTATTACTATTACTATTATTATTAGTATATATACAGAGAAAACACACTTGAGTTGAGCATCGTTGCCACTGCAGCTCGTGATTGCACATGACTTGCACGAGGTGCTGCAGGTGTGCAGGCATGCAAGAGTTCATCCTTGCGTGGATGCGCTGCGAACGTGATTAGCCTGGCTGGGCTCGAATCTAGAAGTCGCAAGACACGTCCTAGAGCCAGGCGACAAGCAATTGCGCAGTCACAGCTTGAGAGCGATTTGGGTCATCGTGCGCCCCGATGGAACAAATACGGGGGCCACGAGAAGAATGCCCGTTCAAATGCTGGCAACATTAGTGTCCGCATGCGCTGCAGCTTGCAGTTTCGGGCCCCCCTCCCCCAAAACCCGAGGCGGACCGGATATGGATGAAAATCTGGCCCACCAGAGGCAGAGGCTTACGCCAGACCGCCGAGTCCACGGTTGAGGCGTCGTGGGCTTTTTGAGCCCTATCTGGGGACTGAAGTGCGTCTTGGGAAATGTTCGGGGGCATGTCTGAGCCTCTTGGAGGCAGTTTTGAAGCGTTCTTGGGGCCGTTTGGGGGCCTTTTTGGAAGGCCTCTTTTGGTTTTTTAGGGGGGACTCTTGGGGCTTATTGGGAGCGTCTTTTGGGTCCGTCGGGGGCTTTTTGGGGCTTCTGGGTGGTTTCTTCGGGCGGAAAGATCGGATGTTCGGTTATTGTTCTCCCTCTTGGCCTCTCTTGGAGCCCTCTTGGGGCGATCGTTGGTCGCCTTTGGCCCTTCTTTTGGGCCGTCTTGGAACCCTCGTGGGCCGTCCCAGGGCCCTCGCAAGGGCCTCGAAGGCAGTTTTGGGGGCGGTCTCCCGGGCCTCTTGGACCGTCTTGGCGCGTCGGAAGCTCGAGAGGACGATGACCCCAGAGATACCCCAACAAAAACACAAGACACAACATAACAAAAACATAGACCCCCCCAGGGATACCAACACAAAACGCCAAGAAAAAGACGATGACCCCCCAGCGATACCAAAACAAAAACAAACAAGCAGAAAAAGCATGGCTCTTGACCTCTCGGGGGACCTTGTGGGCAGGCTCTCGGGGCCTCTCTGGGGGCGTCTTGAATGCGTCTCGGGGCATCTTGAAGCCATCGTGGGCGTCTCGGGCCAGTCGTTCTGCGATTCGGGACCGTGCTGGCACGTCTCGAAGGCCGCGCATGGCAGGTTGGGAAGCTGTGGAGTTTCCGGGGATGCGCGGGCGAGCTCGGATACCCCACCCGTCCCTCAAGCCGGATATTAGACCAGCTCGGATTCCCCCCCCTCCCTCACACCGGATTTTGGACAGGCCAGACTGAGAAGATCATCCGACTCCATCTGGTGCTGAGGGGCTACATGGATCAGGAGGCCTTCTCAGTAGAACAGTCAAGCGGACCTCGCAGCGCTTACTAGCCAGCGAGGCGCCTTGCCATGATGATTGGATCTTGGCAAGCCTGGATGTGGATAAGACGTTCCTTAAGGGTCTGACCTATGAGAACTCGCTGGAGCAACCGGGGAGCAGGAGCGTACTGTATGTTTTGAATTACCTCCTGGGAACGCCTCACTCCTACGTGCATTACCTGGGGTTGAGGACTACGAAGAGTCCCATCACTGTCTCAAGTGTCTCCGGCCAGGTACTGGCACCAACGACGCTCCACGAGCCTTCTCCTTGAAACCCAAAAGAACGACTGGAAGCATCGGTCTCATATCAATGTCATATGAATCAGAAATTGAAGTTGAACATATTTATTGCCAAGCACATGGGCGACATCAACACGTGCGGCAAAGAGGCACACATTGACTCATATGTGCACAACGTACAGCAAGTGCTTTTGGCACATGTAGGTTCGACAAGCATGCTTACACGATGTGTGCAGTCATGCGCACCATGACGGAGAGAGGCGACGCGATCATGGACCAAGACGAATACTTCAAACAACTACTTTCAATCGCGCGCCCCGACCTCGCTGGAGCTTGCCAGATGCACCGGCCAGCAAGATTGTCAGTGATATGTTCGTCAGTCTCCGATGTGCACTGGCCTATTCCGCCCTTGCCCAATGCTTGGTTGTATTATATACTGCGTCGCTACAACGCATTCAGGAACCAACGACCCTCCAGGTGAGACGACTCAATGGCCTCATTCGCAAAGTATTACAATATTTCAAGAATATTACCTACCGCGCGTTGGCGCCCGACGGCAAGTTCGATCTACATAACGATTCGGGCGACCGAAAACTCACTGGATGAGAGGGCGACGAGACGAAAAGCTATAGTGTTCGAGGGTGCAGCCTTCTGCGTCGTGAAATCACGCGCAGGAAGGAAGTGGCGATCCATTGCTTTGACAGTCTACGCAAGTCTCATCGCCTCCAAGTTCGATCCACTTGCGCTGCTGCAGCCCTTGCTGCAGCATGTAGCGTCGATGGATGCTATCCCACCTCAGTGGCACTACGTGCGCTCCTCAAGGGCCCACTGACCCATTCTGGGTTCAAACAACTTCGTGAACAAGGTGTGTTCTGTATTGAAATATCCCTCGCGATTGACGCCTTACAATGACCTACAGACGCCTACAGAAAGACCACACTGCTGGGCCATAGAAGTTGGCCCACAGAGTTGCTTGAGCTCGGCATCGTAAACAATGCGCAGTGGTGTGACACCCGAGGCATGACAGCTGATTGACATTTCCAGGGCTCTCGATCGTAGCTTGTTTTTACAAGACATGGGTGAATACCCGAGCTACGCTCACGATCATACGCACCATATCGTGGCAATACTCCTTCGGCCAATGCGCGACGCCGCTTCTATTCCAACGCCTTGTTGGACCCTTGTGGTCTGAGGGATTGCGCAGCCACGGCCGCCAGTTGCATGAGAAGGAGGGCCCAGTCAGAGTTGTCGTGGAGCCGCGACGGCCTAGAGTGAGCGCGCGCCCGCGCTCCTATTACTTGTGTTTCGCCGCTGAACCACGACGGCCTGCAAGGGAGTGCGCGACCGCGCTCTTTCAGCCGGCCTTCTGTTGAGGATTTGAAAATCGTGCGTGGCTTGGTTTTCGCGGACACGCGAGGCTAACTGCCTGCGTTTCCGATGTAGGATCAGCCCCATCGGCGTCTTTCAGAGCTTTCTCGGCTGCCTGCCGGCCGGCCCAGCACAAACTGTATTTTTTCAGATTGCTGTCGCCCTGCTGCATTTAGGTGCTAAGCTGGCTGGCCCATGGAAATATGACCCAATGCTTCGCACCGTTGTTTTTGGCACTCGCCTCTCCATTGCAAGTGGGGTAAGCGGCACTCCTTCGGGGGGGGGGATCGGGGTCCGCCGGGGCCTCGGGGGCGACGTTCCGGAGCAGCAGCAGTGCTCCTCCTCGGTGACTCCTCCTCCCCCTCCTGGGTTACTGTGGTTCTAACGGCTGATTCGCATCTACTTTATAGTGTGCTTTGCCACCGATTGGCTCTGACCCCGATCACGTGCTGCGCTGTATCACGATAGCACGCGATCGCAGGGCGTTGGGATTTGAACGCCGACTACTGCTGCGACGGTCGCTCCTCCTCCTCCTTCTCCTCTTGCTTCTCCTTCTCTTCCTCCTCCTCCTCCTCCTCCTCCTCCTCCTCCTCTACCCCTCCTCTTGGAGACGGAGCAGCAGCAGTGCTTTTCCTCGTCCTCCGACCAGGAGGAGGATGAGAAGGAGGAGGTGGGACAGCAGAAGCAAGGAGGGAGGAACAGGAGCAGCAACAGTGCACTTCTTCCTCCCCCGAGAAGGAGGAGGAGGAGGAGGAGGAGGAGGAGGAGGAGACAAACACGTTCCCCTGCTTCTCCACCTTCGCCACCTTTGCCTCGGGCATGTCCTGCCCAATATGTCGGGGTCGAATCGGGCCGAGTCGACCAGCCCCCCCCCTTAACAGCGTGGTCGTCGTCGTCGCCGATCGTCGGTTGGGGTCTTGAGCGTCTCTAACCCTTTTCTTGCATGTGGAGGCCTCCAGGGACATCTGGTGACCTCCGCTCCGCGAAGGCTGCACCCTGACCTCTTGTCAGCACCCCTGTGCCGGTGGCTGCGACCCTGGTCCCCGAAGCGCCTCGGGGTGTTCTTTTGCCGCCCGCACGGGCCTGCTTGACCTGGCGCGCTCCAGAGAGGGCCTAGCCGTCGAGGCATCGAAGGAGTTGGCAGTTCCCTGTCTGTTTCCCATAAAGTCAAGACGCACAAGCAAGGAACAGTCTGGGTTCGGAATGGGCTCGATGTTTCTTAGGTCCTTCCATGGCTGTTCCTCCAGCCCTCCTGGTGAGCGAAGACGGCTTTGGGGCCAGGGGCCTCGTTCCTCATTCTGCGTTCCTCTGCTCCAGCGGCCCGACAGTATTGCTTCTCCCCTGCCCTTTGTCGCACCGCTCGCGCTGCGCCGTCTTCAGCCCGAATGCCTGGCGCCACGGCGCCACCGCTCCGTTCCTGGTGGGGCCGCGCGCCAGCGCGCTGGGAGCGTCCGGCCGTCCGCCCACGGCGGAAGCAGAACGAGCCGCCTCTCCGCCGGCCGAGGCCGGCGGAAGCAAGGCCCCAATCCCTGGGGGGGGAGGGCGCGGAGCTCGCCTTAAGAGTGCTGCTCCTACAGAGGTGGAAGCACGCAGGGTGGGAGCTCGGTGGGAGCTCTACCACGACTACGGTGCGAGCCCAAACCCTGAGACCCCAGGGCGCCCATCGACTTCTGGCGTGGGAAAGTCACGATCTCCACAGCAGAAAACCATGGACACCCGAGAAACCCAGAGGCACGCTGGAGATGGAGATGGGGCCAGCCCGCCCTCCCCGTCGCTGGCAGTCCCCGTGCGTGTTCCCTCTTGGGCCCCCGACAGGATCTGAAGCGCTTCCGCGGCGCCGTCTCCGGCGGACTTTTTAGCGAGGCCCACCACGATGCGCCCTCTTGCTGAGACTTGAGGATGACAAGGTACCTATGCCGCTACCCGTCTCTCGTTATCCTTTTGGGGGACTTCCCGGAAGGCCCTCGTCGCCACCGCCGGGTTCGCCTCGAAGTGCTGGTCACAACGCACCCCGGGAGAGGTCCGTGGAGTAGCGGCATCGGTACCTCTTGGTTGCCCCAATGTGTTGTTTTTTCTCGTCCTCCTCCTTATCCTCCTCGTCCTCCTCCTGGTCCTCCTCCTCATCTTTGGGTTTCTCCTCCTCCTCCTCCTCGTCCTCCTCCTCGTCCTCCTCGTCATCCTCCTCGTCCTCCTCCTCCTCCTGCTCCTGCTCCTCCTCCTCCTCCTTCTCCCTTCTCCTTTTCTTGCTTTTCCTCCTCCTCCCTTCTCCTCCTCCTCCTCCTGGGAGCCAAAAGCGCTCTGCCGTTTGCAAAGGGAAGCATCCGAACAAAACAGGGGTTACCGTTGAGCGTGGCCCCTGGTCTGTCATTTGATGCTCTCACTGTTCTGAGCTTGCTCATGTCACCCAGCGAAGGTTCGAGAGCCACTCTTGCTGCGAGGTCCTCTGTATTTTTTTGGCAGGGCCCCAAGCTCCCTCGGTTCAGCAGGGTGGCCTGGGCTACTCCGTGCGCTCATTGGCGGTTGATGTAAAAAAACCTCCTCCTCCTCCTCCTCCTCCTCCTCCTCCTCCTCCTCCTCCTCCTCCTCCTCTTCCTTCTCCTCCCCCTCCTCCCCCGGTTTCTGAAGCCTGGTTTCTTGGTCTGCTGTGGCGCGGATCAGGCTCGCTTCGCTGACTGGCGATGTTTTCTCCGCGTGTTTAGCTCGGGTCTTTGCGAGCACCCTCAGGGGAAGGAGGCCCCCGCGTCCGTAACTTCCCCCACGTTCTCTTCTTGGTGTCATTCAAGCATACTCGACATCTTCCCGCCTCGTTCCTCATCCTCTCTATTCCTCTTACCTCTCTACCATCTTCCTTCTCTGTTCCTCATCAGGGCGGTGATGTGCCAGAGGCCTCTGTCACATCGCCGCCCTGAATGGCATCCCGCTGGCAGCCTTGGTGGTGATTAGTGGTTCTTCAGAGTTTGCAGGTATACGCGACTTTGAGTCAATGCATCGCTCGTTTTCTGTATCTGGGTTTTCTTTCTGGAAGCTGCTCGCAGTGGATCTTGCCACTCTGAGCGGTCCGGGATGCGACCATGCCGTGGGAAGAAACGGCGCAGGCACCATCGGAGAAGGGCCAGTTGAAACAACGGCGGATCGTTTTCTTATTCACCATTTTGCCGATCGGCACGGGCCCTCGCACTCCCCCCCCCCTGCCCCCCCCCCCCATGGAGTAGGTCTTGGCTGTTTCTGGCGCCTGTTTCGAGCAGGTGGAGTCTCCCCCATAGGACGCACTGCTGCAGACAGCCGCACCAAGCAAAGGTCCGGAGCCAGACCCCACTTCTCCCCCCCACTTCCCGCCCAGTGGCGAGACGCCGAATGGGAAGGCGCTCGCCTGGCGCACATCCGCTCCAAGCTCGTCCCACCCCTTCGGGGTCTTCACCTGCCCGTTTTCCTCTTGGCGCCGCTCGGACGTGTGCATTTCTCCTTCGGCGAGGACCATCGAGGAGCATCCTTGATCATTTGGCGAAAAAGCCACGCACGAAACAAAAAAAAAACACAGGGAATGGACGTCCGAGCGATGGCGAGTGCCCGTTTGCCTCGGGGCGGGTGCAGCCGCGGAGACGAGAAGCCCGCCCGCAGGGAGCCCGGGGGCAGAGAGTGCCAGGGAGGGCCGCTGCCGCCTCGACTGGCCCTCCTCCGATGCAGTCAACCCGCAGGGCAAGGATTCAGGAGGGAAAGAAACACACAGACACAATTGATCGTCGACTCCCAGGAAAATATGCGAAAATATGGGAAGTGGGGGGGAAGACAAAAACCGAGAAAATATGGGAAGATATTGGGAATTATTTCATTTGTGTGTATTTATTTGTGTGTCCTGGGGCCCCTTCAAGGATGGGCAACCTTCCCAATGGGTACCCTCGAATCCTTGCCTCCTCGGCCCATCCATTGGCCACTTTCGTTGGCCGCGCCCCGCTCGGGAGGCTTCGAAGTGGGCGTCCAAGGCCTTTGCATCCTCATCGTGCATCCGTATGATACGGGCCGGCTGTACTGGAGTGGCCCGGAGCTTCTGTTCGCAGGCTCGACAGGGGTACGGGATTGTCAGCCAGCGTGGACCCCAAACGGTAATTTCTTGCTATCTATGCGGTGCAATCTAGGTGCCGCAATCTAGGTGGCGCACTGGCATGTGGTGCAATCTATGTGGTGCAAAGCAGTGCAAAGCAATGCAATGCACTGCGGTGCAAAGCAATTTGAAGCAATGCGAACCCATGCAAAGCAATGCAAAACACGGCAAAGCGAGTCAAACTCAAGCAAAGCAAGGCAAAGCAAGGCAAAGCAAAGCACAGCAAAGCAGTGCAAAGCAACGCAGAGCACTGCAACAGGTTCCACCCCTGGCGGCGGCAGCGGGCGCCACCCCTGGCGGCGGCAACGGGCGGCAACGGGCGGCGACGGGCGCCACCCATGGCGGCGGCCTTGGCATCGCTCGGACGTGTGCATTTTTTCCTTCGGCGAGGGCCATCGAGGAGCCTCCTGGACCATTTGGCGAAAAACCACGCACGAAGCCGAGAAGAAAACAGGAAAGGGACGTCCGAGCGATGGCCAGCACCACGAGATGGTTGAGAGAAGTAAGAGCCCCTCAGCTGCAAGCAGCTCCTTGGCGAGAAATAGTATGATGCCCACGGGCAAGCGTTGTCCAATACAGACAGCGGTCGCTGCTGGGCGGGCGACGGTCTGTCTCTAATGGACAACGTCCGCGGCGACACCGACGGCGAGGCCTGTTCATGAATGGGCAGGATCGGTTGTCGGACTTCAATTGGTCGTGCCGACTATGGAGGTTGGTGGGGCACGTTTAGATACGGTCAGGAATTTTGGCTCAGCGTGTCGCTCCGCTGGTTCTGGCCCACCGCGCTTCGTTGCGACAGGCTATTCACTTGCTGGCCTTTGAGCATCAACGTCCCGAGCTTTCCCGAGCCCCCCGTCCCGCTGAGCGGAGCGACACGTTGCTCGCAAATCAGGGCGTGTCGCCCGGGCCGCTGCGGCCACATGCCAAACTCGCGGGCTCGTAGAGGGACGGTTATCCCAAGGGGGGGCCGGGGAACGGTCCCAGCCGGATGCTCCCGTTGAACGAGCTTCCTTCTTCCAGGGGCCGTCTGGAGCGATTTTCCTTCCAACCCCGCCTTTGCCCCTACCCCGCCTTTGTGCGATTTCAACGAGACGACGTGGCTACATCATGAGAAAACGGATGAATGGGGACTGTCGGGAAATCAGCTCCTGAAGTACACATTGTCCTGAGTAGATCCCCGACGCGCGCAGCTTCTCATGCGAGGCCATGGCCTGACCCGCCTCGCCTTTAAGGGGCCCGGGCGCATGCCCGCACAGGCGATCCGTATCCGTATCCGTATCCGCCTTTTGTGCCCCCTGATGAGCACACGTGCCCGACCGCAGCATGCGGGCGGGTATCCCACGCCCGGGCGAGGAAGAGCGTCGGCGAGCTCCAGGAGCGCATCGCGGAGGCCCGTGCTCGGCCCGGAATACGCGCTCCCCGCAGTCTTCGGGGGCGGCGCAGAGGTGGAGGAGGAGGAGGAGGAGGAGGAGGAGGAGGAGGAGGAGGAGGGGGAGGGGGAGGGGCAGGAGGAGGAGGACGAGGAGGAGGAGGAGGAAGGAGAAGGAGAATCCAGAGAGCCGTAACACGACGCCTCCTCTTCCCCAGGTGCCAGAGTTCAGCTACGCGCGGAGGGGGGTATGGGGGAGGGGGCGAAGGCATCTCAGAAGTACCCCTGGTTCTCAGAAGGTGTTGACCTCATCTGTAGATGTAGGGCCGGCGCCTTGAAGCCTTCCTCCCTCCCTTTGGACCCCCCTCTGCGCGCCGCCAAAGAGTGCACTGGGATGGAACAGCTCGTGTCTCCAGTGGCGGCGTCGTGACATGTGACGTTTATTTGATGCTTGTCCAAGAGGACCGAAGCATGTTACACACGATGTTTGGGAGCTTCCCAGGAGAGTAGTGGAGTCATCCTTGAGAGCTTGAGGCCTCTTAGGGGCCTCTTTTTGGGAGAGTCTTGGGGCGCACGGGACGAAACGACGACACCAAACACGTTTTCATGTTTTGGGCCTCTCAGGGATCTCATGGAGGGCATCTTGGAGGCATCTTGAAGCTTCCGAGTCGCGCCATCTTGGGCGCTTGATTCGGGGCCCCTCTGGTGGAAGTCTCAAGACCGTCGTAGGCCAGTCTTGGGGGCGGTCATGGTCCGTCTTGGAGTTGTGTTTGTGGGTCGTGTGCCATCGTGGGGCCATCTTTGGGTGCTAAGAGCTTTTTGAATGAAGAAGCTTGATGGGGTATCTTGGGGCTGTTGGCGGCCTCTTGGTACGAAAAATACTAAAACGAAAGCACTGCGAGGCTTGATTCGCCTTACTCCTGGGGTCGTGTGTTGGCAATGCTGACCAACGCCAGAACAGACCGCACGCTGCATTTCCTCGGGGGACTTGCGCGCGGCGACGTGCCAGGAGGTCGCCCAACCGAGAAAACACACAAACACACACGCACACATACACACACACACTTGCACGCACACACATACACACACATACACGCACGCACGAGGCGACAATTAAAGAGAACGCAACATAACACAAGACAGCACCGTGCAAACGAAGACAAGGCAGCTCATTGGTTTACAAAACTCGCCAGAAAACACAATACAACATGTGGCGGCACAGTGCAACCGTATGTTTACCTTGCTGCACGTGCGTGGTTGTCCCCTTGGACTAGAATCTTGTGTGATTTCAACGAGAGGAAGTGGACTGCTGCATCCATTGTTTCCTCTTGATAGGAAGAAGACTCGCATGGGATCTGATCGTCCGGGAAGGGTGTACTGCACCTGACGATTGTTCTCAATCAGTATTGTGGCTTATAGAACGGAGGCCCATGCGAGTTGTCTTAGGAACATGGTAGAGGCGTCTTGAAACCCTTTCGGGAGGAGGGAGAGCCGGAGACAAGGATAAGGATGAGAGGGAAACGGAGATGGAGGATGAGGTCTTTAGTATGTTTTTGTTGTGGGAGCGTTTTGGAGGGTTCTTGAAGCCATCTATAGGATAGTGTGTAGGTTCTTCTGGGTCGACTATTGAATTCGACATGTGTCTTAAAATGAGGTTGTCTCAGTATAAGGTCTCAACGGCCAGGAGGGGACTACAGGTTATCGCACCCAGGTTGCTTTATCGATTGGAATTACCGCCACGGGGGCCACACCAAGATACCAGAGGGAGGGCATTACACTGCACACTGAGGCGTTCTGCCGATCGGACCAGCCCCCCACGGTTTTTCGCCAGGAGGGGATTTGATGCATCGCGTGAGGTCCACAGCGACCGTTAGGGGATCGTTGTACCCGACGCTTTTGCTCGGCAGTGACGTTTGTTTGCGGGGTCTTACCAGCATTGGAAGTACTACCAGATTCGGCGTTTTGATTGGCAGAAGCGAAACCACAAGAAGTCTCACCAGCATGAAGGGGACTACAGCAACCGCTGACCAAAGAAGGCCTCGTCCGGGGTCTGACCGATAGGGACATGTTAATGCGCCCCACGCGCGTTCTCGGCAAAATGCGTGTCGTGTATGGGGTTCCACCGAATGTGGGGGAATACTGCACCAAATGTCTGTTCAGTTCTGGAATGCCGGCACGGAGTGCGTTGTTGCACCCGACACGTGTCGTTAGCAGAGGTTGCTGCGGTTCCATCGATCAGGGAGGCCTCTGCACCTGACGCTTCCTCTGGACAGAACATGGATGCTGAGGGATTGCGCCCCCCCGCGGGGGCTACGGTCGGGAACTTTTAGGGAGCGTTTCGCTCCGCAGGCTCTGGCCCACCACGCTTCGGCGCGACAGGTTATCCACTTCCCTCTCCCGAGGCGCCAACGTCCCGAGCGGTTCGCAACCTTCCGCCCCGCGGAGCGGAGCGACACGCTCACCTGGCAGTGCATAATTAGCGTGTCGCTGGGGCCGCCGCGGCGACACTCGAAGCAGAAGTCCCCGACCGTGTTGCATCGATTCGTTCCCTGCCGAGACGTCGTCCTTTGGGGTCTCTCCGACGGGGAGGGTGCTGTCTCACCCGACGTCTGCCGTTGGCAGAGCTGCTCGCCCCGGCGCGTGAGGTTTCCCCGGCCGAGGGGGGCTCGAAACGCCACGCCTCCCGAGCAGAGCTTCCTTCCAGTGGGAACCACTGCGCCCAGCACGCGGTCCTCGACACAGGCTCGGGGCTCGAGAGATGGGGGTCAGTGCAAACGGGGGTCAGCCAGAGTGCGGGCTTGTGCAGGATCCAGGTCCAAGGATGCATTGACCCGTGCTTGGGTGCAGGATCCTTCGGCGGCGCGCACAGGGGGTAGGGGGAGGGGGGAAGGCTTCTTAGAAGCACCCTTGATTCTTAGAAGGCGCAGGTCTTGTCTGTATATGGAAGGCCCGCGCCTTCTAAGAAGCAGGGGTGCTTCTAAGAAGCCTTCCCCCCTCCCCCTACCCCCCTCTGCGCGCCGCCGAATCCTGCAGGATTTTGCAGGATCCTGCAAGGCCCGACTGACCCAGGTCCGGACTGACCCGGGGGCAGCGGATCCCCGGGAGGCGGCCTCCCATGGGCCCACACCAGAGGTGGGAGCGGCGATATTGCACCCGAAGCTTCTTCAGTGAAGATCCGTAGTAAGGACGGTGAAGCTTCCCAAAGGCACCCTTGCGTCCTAAGATTTGCTCCGCAGTGCGCCGCTGGAAAAGCTTCGACTGGGGCGTCCAAGGACCGTCCAAGGGTTTTGCGCCTTTTTGAAGGCCTTTTGGGCCGTGTTAGGGGTGGTTTCGTGGGCGATGACGCAAGAGTCAATCAAACACCTAAGGAACATCAATGATTTGGGCATCTTGGGGCCCTCTTGGGCGGCCCCTTGGAGGTCTCTTGGGACGTCTTGGGGGCCTCTAGGCCCCTCTGGGGGCCACTGTGGGCGTGTTGGGCCGATCTCTCCGCGACTCGAGGCCGTCTGAGGCCGTCTTGGAGGCCTCCTGGGACCCCCTGGGCCCGTCAGGGGGCCCCCTTGGGCCCGAAACAGTCAAGCGGGAAGCCGCGGCAGGCCCCAGGGGAACCGCGCCAAGGCCCAAGAGATTTGGCAATTTGGGCTCCAGGCCTAAGGGCTCCTCAGGACTGAGGACTGAGGCTCCAGGGATTAGTAGGCCAAGGACCTGAGGGCACGCCCACTCCGTGCCCAGAGGCACGGTGGCGAACTATTGCATGGCGTATTCACGTACGGATTGGTCAGTGTTAGCTCAGTTCTTTGAGCGTAGACACATCCACAACGCACTGAAGCCTGGGTCCTGTGGATGGGATCCTGGGTACCTACCGCAACCTCCTCGCCCATGGCAACTAAGGTTGGGATCGTGTTGGCTAGATTGTGAGGAATCTCTCACTGAAGCCTGCTCCGAGGTCAGTTTCTACCGGGGCCCTACGGCCAGGACATCGGAATCGTAATCATTTCGCGTTCGGAAGTGGATCGGTGTTGCTCAGGTCTTTCTGTGGGTGTTCCTCTAGCGTTCCTCGTCCTCCCAGGCGTTTCTGGTGCAATCAATGATGGCACCCTTTGGCTGCAGGCCCGCGACCCACCCGCCTCCCCACGAACTGTTGTCTCCGTGTTTCGCTTCACGATGCATGGGCTGCTGTCTGCGCGGCATTTTGCAATCACAGCCCACAGCAGTCAACGCTTCTCCCTAGCACAGCGATCACTGCTTTACCGCGACGAGTCTGCCAGGCTTGTCTTCGTTGTTCCAGGCTGCCAGCTGGCGGATCCAATGGCTGCGCGATTTCCACCCCCCTCCCGGTGTCCAGGTCTCCCGCGCTCATCGCCTGGACGACAACGCCAGGAAGGGTACCGCTGTCTTCGCCTGATGCCTTCAGTGCTGTCCCCATCTGCTCTCTCGGTCTCGATGTCTTCCCAAAGGGCTTTCTACCTCTCCCCCTCCATGTCAGGGCTCATTTCGATGCCGCCGATTCGATTCGATTCGACTTGGATGGCTTCCGATTCCGATTCGGTTCGACTTCGGGTTCCGATGTGGGCTCCCATTTTTTCTTGGAGGCCTAACTAGTAGCTTGCCGATCTCCGCCGATTCGACCTCTCCCGACGTGGCCGCCGATCTGTGCCGATCCGATCCATTTCGATCGCCGATCCGACTCGTCGATTCTGGGCTCTCCTGCGCCCTGTCCTCCAGACAGTGCTCGGTGCCGGGGGCTATGCGGGGCGCCCGCGGGGCGAGAGCCAGAGGGGGGGGGAGGAGGAGGAGGAGGAGGAGGAGGAGGAGGAGGAGGAGGAGGAGGAGGAGGAGGAGGAGGAGGAGGAGGTGCCGGGGGCTTCCTCTCGGCTCCTGGCCGCTTGGCCAGCACCGAAAGGCCTCTTGCCCCGCGCCCGCCCGCTGGCGCCTCGCCGGGGCCCCGTGCGCTGGCTGGCGCCGCTCTGTGGCGCAGTGAAAAGCAGAAGAGCATAAAACAGCAGGATCAAAAGAAGAAACACAAACAAGAAGAAAGCCGTGGGGGAGGAGTAGGAGGAGGAGGCGGAGGAGGAGGAGGAGGGAGGAGGAGGAGAGGGAGGAGGGGAGGAGAGGGAGGAGGAGGAGGACCCAGAGGAAGAGAAAGGAGGATGAGATACAACAACTGAAACAAAACACCGTGCTGGCTCGCCCCGTGCTGGCCGGCATGTCTGCGGGCTTCCGCCCGGTGCCCGCCCGTGGGTTCCTTCGCGCGCGTTGGCTCTCCACACGGTTCTGCAGCCCATCGACAGCGTTGGCTGTCTTGGCATCGCTCGGACGTGTGCATTTTTTCTCGGCGAGAACCATCGAGGACCATCCTGGACCATCGAGCAAAAAAACACGCACAAAACCGAAAAATGCACGGGAAATGGACGTCCGAGCGACGGCAAGTTGCACTACGTAGGTTCTCGCTCCCGCCCTCCCGCCCGCCCTCCCTCCCAACCCGCCCCCTCCCCCTCCTCCTCCTCCTCCTCCTCCTCCTCCTCCTCATCAGCATCATCATCATCATCATCATCATCATCATCATCATCATCATCATCATCATCATCATCATCATCATCATCATCATCATCATCATCATCATCCCCCTCTCCTCCCATCCCCCCTCCTCCCCTCCTCCTCCTCCTCCTCCTCCTCCTCCTCGTCCTCCTCCTCCTCCTACTCCCCCTCCTCCCCCCCCTCCTCCCCCTCCTCCCCCTCCTCCCCCCCTCCCTCTCCTCCCCCTCCTCCTCCTCCTCCTTCTCCTCCTCCTCCTCCTCTTCTGGGTCGGCCACGCGCAGAGGGGGGCGGGGGGAGTGGAGAAGGCTTCTCGGAGGCACCCATGCTTCTCAGAAGGCGCGGGCCTCGTCTGTAGACGCAGGGCCAGCGCCATCTGAGAGGCAGCCTCCTAAGAAGCCTTCCCCCCTGCTCCTGCCCCCCTCTGCACGACGCCAACTGAAGAGCAATAGAATCTACCCTGTGAGTCGGTGGGGTTGCCCTCTGGTGGCACAATCTTCGTCACCAACGTGCGATCGTCATGTTCATGTTTTACCCCTGCCGTCTTTTGAAATATCATTTCCGTTGCATGCAGCGAGAACTAGTGCTACCCGCCTGCACCAATGACCTGGCTTGACTTCTGACGAGTTTGCATTAGTTACGGCGTTACCCATGGCCCTCCTGTCTTAGTTTATAACCATTGATATCTCTCTCTCTCTCTCGCTCTCTCGATCCCTCTCTGTTGCCCTCCCTCTGTCTCTTTCTCTCTCTCTCTCTCTTTCACCTTCTCCCCAGATCAGAGTATTACACTCAATACATTCCTCTCGTCGTGTCCCTCCCCCGATTTTGCCACCCATCGCCCCCTATACAGGCAGACGGCAGTCATCGCTTTTCCAATTTTCTGACATATCTCATTTCCGTCAATTCTTTCGCTTTCGAATTCGTTTGTTTTGCTGAGCCGCCCTCATCTGTCCACGGGTCTCCCCCTTGGGGTCCTCCAGGAACCACGGGTCCAACGCGCTCGAGCCCATAATGACCCATGTGGTTTTAGTGTCAGGCCTTTGCGATTTTAGAGTCACCATTGCTCGGACACTTACATGGGCAGGTGCATGCGGGAAACACAAGAAGAAGCGTTCGCTTAAAGCTGGCGAGGGTGACAGGGGTTCAGAGGGGAGGTCACTGCTGCAGCCCAAACCCTTCGCCAGCATCCCATAACCATCTCTCGAGATCGTTGTACATGCTTGCCAGCAGAAGTTCATATGCATATTGTTGGGACGGCCAACGTACCCCTGAGGCCTCTTTGGTGTTGGAACGCTGTTGGGTTGCACGTTGTGGAACAGGTTGCCTCTGCAAACCTCTACTCTGTATAATCGTCTACATATCATACCGATCGCTGGTTCCAGGGAGACGAGGTAGCTCAGTCACCATTGCAAATGTTTGTAACGACCTCGTTGCGTTGCCAGTTTCAATTTTTGTTCATGCTTCGCGTCCCTTCTGGCCATCCCTGGGGCCCGTGTGGGGGCGAGGCAAGGAGGAGAATGATGATGAGGAGAAGGGCCAATGTAAGCCCAAGACTCACCAACGATGTTGGAATAAAGCCTCCCTCTAAGCTCCGTCTTCATAGGCCCATGCGGGGGTTCATTCCCACTAAGGCTCTAAGGGAACTGCCTCGTTGGGAGAGAACCGTTTGAAGGCCCAGACGCGTGCCACAACACCATTCTCGAGACCCCAACTCCACGAATCAACCTGAATCGCGCCAGAACACCATTCCTGGGATTTCTGCACCAGGCGTCAACGCAGCTGTTGCGCCCCCACAATCCAGAGTCCTTTCAATACACAGATTCTGATACGTCGACCACCCGAGTCCGTAAAACTCCTTGCAACTGTTCAATGCGAGTGCGCGCGGCGCTAAGGTCAGAGGCACATGTTGAAGACGGCCCGCCTTTAATGTGTTCAGCTTCGGCAGATTTTCAAGACGAACGCGTGCAGCGCCAAAGCGATATCCACATTTTGAACGCGACCCGCCCTCAATCCGTGATACTGTTGTAATGCTGTAAGACGGTTGCGAGCTGCGCGAAGGTGAGAGCCCTGGGCCAGCATTGCCGCGCGCGCTCGGCGGCGCCGCCGCGGCGACACCGCCCCCCGCGCATTGAGCGCATCGGCCTTGCTCCTGCGCTACCTGGGCTGTTTGAGCCTGAATTGGCCAGGGCGCCGCGCAAGCGGATTCCCTGCCCCCTCGCGCGCGGTGCCGCATCCTATTCGCATGGGCGATGGTCGCCAGGGCGGCGGCCCAGGCCCCTCGCGCGCGGCGTCGTTCCTTCAACGAGTCGCTTGCAACGCCCCCCGCGCTTGGCATTCCTGGCTCGCCGCGCATTGTTACTTGTCGCGCAGGATCGGGCAGAACCGCTGCGCGCGAGGCGGCCCTGCCCCCCCCCCCCCCCCACCCACCCACCATCCGCGCAAATGTGTTTTTCCCCGCGCGCGGTGGGCCGAGGCCTCCGAACCCGCGGCTGCGGTGGCGCGTCGGGCATTTTATGTTGACGCGCCGAATCGGCCAAGGCCGTCGCGCGCGCGGCGCCCCGCCCTTTCGCGCATTGGTTCCCTCCCCCGCGCAGCCTGGGCCAGTGCCGCAGCGCGCGCGGCGGCCCACCAGGTCCCTCTTCCATTGCGCATGCGGCCCAGGGCCACTGTGGCGGCCAGCGAGCCCGCTTCGCAAGCGCGGGGCAAGGGGCCCAGGGCCGCCGCGCGCGCCCCGCCCCTCCCGCGCCCCGTCTCTTGGACGCTGGTGCGTGCATTGGTTTCCTTAAAACATGTGGGTGTTGCTCTCCAGGGCCTCGCATCGTATTGTTTTCCGTTCTCTCTGGGTCCTGTTTTCAGGATGATCTCTATATGTCCCATCGGCTTTCCCGCAGAACCCTTGCCTGCTTTCCTTCGCCAGCCGAATGCTCATTGTTTGGATTTCGTTACCACCCCTGGTTATGAAGGGTTGACCCGGTAAGCGCATTCGAGCCAGTTCAGCCGTCAACGGGGGTGGTGTTGGTGGTGGAGCGTTTCCACCGTTATTCATCGTTCCAAGGGCCAAGGGGGTCAATTTCGATCGGCCCCCCCGTCATTTCGCCCAAGTGGGGGTCTGCCTGCGCGCGATTTGTCAATTGTCGGCTTCTGCTGCTGCTGCTGCTGCTGCTGCTGCATGCTGCTGCTGCTGCTCCATGCTGCTGTTGCTCGCACGGTTCCAAGCGGCCCCCGGAGGCCCCCAAGAGGCCCCCAAGAGCGCCCCAAGACGCCTCCAAGACGCCCCCAAGAGCGCCCCAAGAGGCCCCCAAGAGAGCCCCCAGATTTTTTGTTTTTTCTTTGACCCCTCTGGGAGCTTCTGGTGGCCCCTGAGAGGCTCCCAGAGGCTCCCAAGAGGTCCCCAAGAGGCCCTCAAGGGCCCCCAAGAGGCCCCAAAGAGGCCCCCAATAGCGGCCCAAGAGGCCCCCAAAAAGGCCCCCAAGAGCGCCCAAGAGGCCCCCAAGAGGCCCCCCAAATTATCTTAGAAAAAGTAGCGGATATCACAATGTTTTAAGATTTCGGGGACCCGCCGCTTTCGCCCCTTGTTTTGAACAGTTTTTGGCGCGTCGCCGCGGCTTGTTTTTATTTGCCTGCGCACGAAAAAGCCACCCCCGGCCCGCCCGGAGGGACGTCCAGAAAATGTGTGTTTTGTTCCACTGTTCAGGGGACATCCGAAAAACCCACAGCTTCGGCAAGCCCCGTGAATAGTAGAAGCGGGGGCCGGGGAGCCCAAAACGGCCAGAAAAGGACACCAAAATCGTCAAAGTGCGGCCGTGGAGGCCCCATGACGCCCCAAGGGGCCGCGATATTCCCCCAAGAAGGCGCCATATGGCTTCAATGGTTTCCAAGACGCTCTTGGGGGCTTTCGGGGCCTGTATGCGTGCTTATGGGGGCCTTGGGGGGCCTTATGGTGGGCTTCTTGGGGCCTTATGGGGCCATGTCGGGGACCTTTTTGGGCCCTCTTGGGGGCTTCTGGGGGCATCATGGGGCCATCTTGGGGGCATGTGGGGGGCCTTTCGGGAATATTATGGCCTCTGGGGGTGGTTTGGGCCCCAGTCCAACGACTTGTGTCGTGCCAAGCCAGAGCGGTTTGCTCATAAGATGATTTTGCAATGTGTCAAAAGCTTTATTCATCGCCGAAGTGGGGGCGTTGTGTTTGAAGTTGGGTTGTGATTGTTCGAGAAACCCCCTTGTGTGACGCCGTTGGAATCGTTATTTATCGCTCCAGGGGGTGAATTAGTGTTAGTCAGGTTTTTCATTCGTCACGACTGAGGGAAAGTTGAGTGTTTCGCGATGTATGTATCTGATTCAAGCTTGCTGCGACCAGGGTCCAGCGTTGTATTGCAGGGGGTGATATTTCGTTGGTCCCGCCCCGGATCTGTACATTTCTTGCGTGGGCGTGGCGCAGAATCCCCATTTTATTTGTCAGTGCCCGCTGCAAAACTTCTCTTTGCCGCGCCGAGGGGGCCAATGCACTGCGACGCGGGAAGTGCCGTCAAACAGCTCCTATCGTCGCGGCCAATTGCTTGCCGAGGCACGCGCGCCGCGCAATATGATTTGAAAAATGCCTGCAAATTGCCTCGCGCGGACAGCAGGGCTTCCTTGTTCGCGGAAAAAATACAGACACCTCGGGACTTACAATGCATGTGCTTTAAACGAATGCGCGCGGCGCGAAGGCGACAGTCGCACTTTGAAAACCGCGCGCCTTCAATGTGTAAAGCTCTTGCAATTTGTTCCAATGAATGCGCGTGGCGCTAAGACGACAGTCGAACTTTGAAAACGACCCGCCCTCAATCCGTGAAGCGCGCTGCAGTTTTTCAGACGAATGCGGGCGACGCTGAGGTGACGGCTGCATTTGGAGAACCACCCGCCTTCAATGTGTGAAGAAGCAATCCATTTCTAAGCGTCAGGGTCATCAGTGGTGAGGGCGGAACGCCCGGCCCGCCGTTTCGACCAGCCTCGGGGTGCGACAGGGAGGAGTCAATTATAAGGAAAAGGAATGGAGGACGAGGAGGAGGGGGAGGAGGAGGAGGAGGAGGAGGAGGACGAGGAGGAGGACGAGGACGAGGAGGAGGAGGAGGAGGAGGAGGAGGAGGAGGAGGAGGGGGACGACGACGACGACGACGACGACGACGACGACGACGACGACGACGACGACGACGACGACGACGACCACGTCGACGACGACCACGTCGACGAGGAAAAGGAGGAAAACGAAAAGGAAGACGATGAGGGCAAGGACGAGTACGATGAGGGGGAGGAGAAGAAGGAGGACAAAGAGGTCGAGAACAGAACCCTCAAAATCGCCTCTGGGTTTTTTGAGTTTGAGCTTTTTTGGGGGGGTCTTGGGGCCCTCTTGGAGCCTTCTTGATGGTCCCCTGTGAGCCCTGAAGGGCCATCTTGGGGGCCATCGATCAAGCGGAGGGTGTGTCCCAAATCTTTGTTCCCCCAAATCTCGCCTCTTGGCGCGCTTTTGGGGCGCTCTTGGGCCGATTGAGGCGAACGCTCGGAGAGCGTCCGTCTTCGATCGAAGCGGTTGCTTGCAACCAGCGATTCGGTCGACCCCCATTAAGGAAATCGCTGTTTGGGGGGTGATGGTGAGCAGGGAGGAGGAGGAAGAGGAGGAGGAGGACGACGACGACAAAGACATTTCAGCTCCATCGAGGCCGCTTCATCTTGCCGATCAGCACCCTCGGGTCGCGTGCGCGGTTTCCTTTCTCTGGGCGGGGCTAGGACGAGGATGACTCCGTTCCACAGCGTTCCAGAACGCTCTCAGAGCATTCTGGAACGCTCTGAGAAGGCGTGGCACACAGACACAATTAATCGTCGATTCCCTAGAAAATATGCGAACGTATGGGCAGTGGGGGGGCAAACAGAAACCCAGAAAATATTTGAAAATATGGGGAATCCTTTTATTTGTGTGCATTTATTTGTGTGTCCCAGGGCCCCTTCAGAGACATTCTCCAGAGCCACCGGACCCCAGGTATTTTCGACTTGTCCTTACCCGATGTTACCCTCGCCCTGGCTTCGTCTCAAGAGAGGGCGAGAGGGAGGGAGGGGAGCGGAGTGAGGGGACGGGAGGGGAGGGGGCGGAGGAGGGAGGAGGAGGGACGGAGGAGCGAGGATGAGGGAGGAGCAGGTCGGACGGGGTTAGGACGAGTACACATCCGTTCCAGAGCGCCCCGGAGCGCTCTCGGAGCATTCCGGCACGCTCCGACAAGGACGCGGCGCCCGATGCATCCCCCCAGAGCCACCGGACCTCAGAGGTCCTCGATTTATCCGTGCCCGATTTTAGTCTCGTCCTGGCTTCGTCTTGGCGCGAGGTTTTTCAGCCCCTGGGGGCGCTTGCCGGGCCGCGGGGCCGTCCAGAAACGACTCGGGACGAAAAGCCCGTCACTGGGAATGGGTCGAGACCCCTGAGGGTCGACGTCATGAAGAAATCTTGGCGTCGGGGGTCTGGGGATCGGGTGTTGCTAGCAGTGCCCCGGGCCCACCGTGCCCGCAGGACTTCCAGGAGGCCCCCCGGGGCGCGACGCCAAGACGAGGGCGAGGAGCCGAGAAAACCCGCGGCCGGGAGCTTTGGCTCAGCGCGCCGCCGTGCCTCGCCTGGCCGACCGCGCTCCGGCGCGGCACGCTGTCGACTGCCCGGCCCCCGAGCGTCGCAGTCCCGAGCCGCTCCCGGCCGCCCACCCCCGCGGAGCGGAGCGACGCTCTTCTCGCCTGCAGGGCGTGGCGTGGCGCCGGGGCCGCCGCGAAGGTTCCCGACCGTGCTGCACCGATGCGGTCGTTGCCGAGGCGTCGTCTGCGAGGCTCCTCTCTGACGGGGAGGGTGCTGTCTCACCCGACGTCTGCCGTTGGCAGGGATGCCCGCCCCGACGCGTGAGGTTTCCCCGGCCGAGGGGGCCTCGGCACACCACTGATTGACTCTGTCAAGCACGGCTCGCTGGCACTCATTGATTATGTCGCCTGGTCATGCTCATATTCATGCTCCTACTCCCTCCTCCTCTTCTTCCTCCTCTTCTTCCTCTTCCTCCTCCTCCTCCTCCTCCTCCTCCTCCTCCTTTCTTTTTTTACGTTAGGCGAACATTAGGTGTGAAGCTTGTTGCGTTCTTGGATGTGTGCAAACGAAAAGCTGAAACAGGACTCGATGCACGAAGTACCTGGCGGGCGCCGCGGACATAGCAGGAACAAAATAACGGCGGCAAGAGTAGAAAAGTGAGCAGGCGCCCGCTAGGTACTAGAGGACAGCGCGTACCTTAGTATGAAGCCCCCGAAAGTACTTAAGTGAAGCTAAGCTATAGAGCAAAACCGCTAATATTCAATGGTACGCGCTGCCTCAGACACAGCATGCGCAAGTATTGCGCAGTAGACTTGGCGGAAGGTGATGAGAAAAGTCTGATCAGCTGCTGCGGCACGAGCTGTTCCAAGCCTCTGAGACGGCCGCTGGTGCAAGTATCCTCCTCCTCCTCCTCCTCCTCCTCCTCCTCCATTTCCTCCTCCTTCACTTCCTCCTCCTCCTCCTCCTCCTCCGAGCGTGCGTGCGTGCCGCGCCAGTCTTCGACCGCTGCGCTGACGCCGCCAGCGGTGCGCGGTGCCCCCTTCCCCCCCAAAAAATTGGCAGGGGCAACGTTAGGGTCGGGAACTTTGGCTTAGCGTGCGGATCTGCCGGTTCTGGCCCACCACGCTTCGGCGCGACACGCTATCCACGTCCCCGTTCCCAAGCGTCAGCGCCCCGAGCTGTTCCCGGTGTCCCGCCCCGCGGAGCGGAGCGACGCGCTACCCGCTCGCAGGGCAGAGCGTGTCGCCGGGGCCGCCGCCGCGACGCGCTAAGCAGAAGCTCTAGACGTCTGTTTTGGAGCGGGCGCTGAGTCACAGCGGAGGACGGGCCTCATCAGCGTCTTCGCCGAGCGCGCCCGGCTCGGCTGCGACCTGGACCAGGACGGCTGCGCGCGTGCTCGCGAGGCACGATCATCCAAATCAGCTCTTTCCACCCCATCCTCCTCCTCCCTCCTCCTTCCTTCCTCTCTCGGTCGAATGTGCTCTAAGGTCAAAACTCCCACCAGGGCCAGGGTCGAGTACCTGGAGCGAATAATCAAGGGGTTGTGGCCAAAGGTTTCAAGCAAGGCCGAGAAGATTGCTCGTGGCCGCCATGTGTAATCCATTCACGGTTCGTTGACACTCAACGACTTTCTCACATGGCTTCATTCATATTCACTATCCTCCTCCCGCCTCCTCCTCCTCCTCCTCCTCCTCCTCCTCCTCCTCCTCCTCCTCCTCCTCCTCCTCCTGAGCGCGAGAGCTCCTGCGTGCGCGCCGCGCCAGTCTTGCGCTGACGCCGCCAGCGGTGCGCGGTGCCCCCTCCCCCCCCAAAGATTTTGGCAGGGGCAACGCTAGGGTCGGGAACTTTGGCTTAGCGTGCGGATCCGCCGGTTCTGGCCCACCACGCTTCGGCGCGACACGCTATCCACGCCCCCGTTCCCAAGCGTCAGCGCCCCGAGCTGTTCCCGGTGTCCCGCCCCGCGGAGCGGAGCGACGCGCTGCCCGCTCGCAGGGCAGAGCGTGTCGCCGGGGCCGCCGCCGCGACGCGCTCTTCAAAGTCCAAAAGTTCCTGGCCGTAGGCTCCGGGGGGAAGCATCGACCCCCAAGCGCTCATGTGAGCGTTTTTTCCATTGTTTTGCCGCTCGGCGCGGGCGCGATCCCGGGGGCAGGGCGGCCCAGAGAGGCAGAGCGTCGGCCCCCCGCGCCCCTGCTCGTCGTCGTCGTCGTGCTCGTCGTCGTGATCGTGCTCATTGTCGTCGTGCTCGCCGTAGTCGTCGTCGTCGTCCTGGAGGCTTCTCGTCGCAGCCGCTGGTTGGGCACCCGGAGAAGCATGGGACGGGTGCTGAGCGACTGTGGGGCTGTTCTGGGCGCCTGTTTCAAGCAGGTGGAGTCTCCCCCGTAGGACGCGATGGTGCAAACAGACGAAGAGGTCGGGAGCCAGACCCCCCTTCCCCCCCCCCTCCGCCCAATGTCGAAACGCCGAATAAGAAAACGTTCACCATGGATCGCCTGTGGGGCCCAAAGAGGCCGCCCCGCCCAGGAGCGTGCGGCTTCGCTATCGGAGGCCCTATCGCCGACCTCGCGGCGAGGTATCGCCGATTTTGGGCCGCTGCCCCCTCCCCCCCACACTGAGCCAGTAACCCCCGTTGACGTAGCCGGTAACCCCCGCGGACGTCTGCCCTTCACTTCCGGCAGACAGGAACGCTCAGCCCCGACGTTTGGCATCCTTCCGCTATCGTGGATACGGGTCCTTTTCGCTGTTCCTGGGCTCTTGGGGCCCTCTACGGGCCCCGGGGCTGTCAGGAAACGGCTAAGGGTGAGCATCTCGTGCTGAGGGAAGGTATGGGGTCCAGAACCAGTTTCCCACATGACCCGTTTCCCCCATGTTAGTAAGTAGGCCCCCGAATTAGTTTGTTTGGCGGGCACAAACGCGTGAATGAACTTATAGTTTCCTGGACCGCACATCCGGCTGTAAGCCGATGTACATCCAGGTGAAGCGTGGCACATCCAAGTGAATCCAGAGATCTCCAGGGACATGTGGAGCAGCTCTTGGCCGTTCAAGCGCGCGTCAAGGGACGGCAGTCGTCGCTTAGCCCTTGATGAGCAGCGACATCGGCGGGCGCCTTCTGCGAGAGGAGACGACCCTCGATCTTGCCTGTGGTGACGGTCATCTGGCCTAAAGACCCCCTACCAGCACCAAGGTTGAGGATCGCAGCCCGTCTTCCATCGGTGGAGGCGGCCCCCGGATGTAGGCGGATGCTGTCTCTGTGTGGCTGCATGGTCTGTTCCCCCCCTCGCCGTAGTCTGATTCCTGGATAAGAGTGCTGTGACTTCCGCTCTCCCGACTGAAGGGCGGGCCAGGAGGGGCCACGATGCACAAGGCAGCCAGAGGCTCCCCAGCAATCGAGGCCAGTGTGTGCGCCCCCTACCCGTTCAGCACATATGGTACAGATTACATCATGCGCTGGGCGTGGACCGATGGCACGCGCAATAATGGTCGGATGGGCTTGCCGCGTTCGGGACTCGCCACTCCTTAATTTCCCGCCTCCGCTCTTCACTCGCACGCAGAGCAACAAGTGTGCATATATTGCTTTTGGTTAAGTGTGGAGTGTTGGCGTAGCAGGTGCGTCATGCTTCCCCACTTCGATTCACCCGATTGCATGCGCTTTGGCTCAGAACTTTAAGCCGGCATTGCATTTCCGCATAACCGGACAATCTCGTTGTTTCTGGGTTATGGGATTCAGGAGTGCCGCTCATCTTCTCTTTTTGTTTGCTTCGATCTAGTTCGAGTTGCACCATGAGACATCAGGGTTGGACACATCGCAGGCCTGGGCACGTGGGCCTGATTGCGCATTTTGCTGACCGCATTTCCACCAAGGCCACGACGGCTCCTCATCGTAACAAGATTTCGAACTGCCTCCGCACAGGTCCGTTACCTCTTCCGGGCAGGCTTGTAGAACAGATAATGGCATTTCACGCTTTCTTTCATTGGTTTGCTTTCGGGGGCCCGTGTGATGTTGCATATTTTGAACAGAGTGCTCCAGGCATCTCATACAGTTATCACCATCGACGATGGATCCTATAGGTAAACTAGACCTTGGTGCAATGCCATCGCTGTGAAACAAGTTGTTGTTCCCACCACCAGGCCAGCATGGATTGCCGTACAGTCGCGTCGTGCCGACCGGCGGCGACCCCGCCGTTGGCGTTCAACGTTGAGCGCCGCCCGCGATCCAGAATGGGTCGATGTTGAAAGATCCGATGTTTCGCAAACGGCAGATTCCTCGGTGCCAGGAGCCAACGCCGAAGTGCACGACGTACACCCACCGCAGGCGCTGGGGTGTATTCGGGGGGGCGTCGGGCGCCCAGTTCTTTCCAATAGTCGAAGGGAAAGAAACACACAGACACAATCAATCGTCGACTCCCAGGGAAATGTTGGAAAATATGGGAATTGGGAGGGAAGACAGAAACCTAGAAAATATAAGAAAATATTGGGGATCCTGTTATTTGTGTGTATTTATTTGTGTGTCCCAGGGCCCCTTCAAACAACAAAAACAGCATGAGCATACAATTAAGGAGGTGCGCGGATTGTTAGGATTGGCGTTGGACCCCCCTCCATGGCGCGCGGAGCGCGCCAGGGGCGGATTCGAGAAGTCCGCGCGGGGCTAGGCAGTTCATGCTTATGCCGTGTCTTGTGTGCCTCTTGGGCTGTCACGCGGGCAGCGTCGCCGCCGTCGGCGTGGCCGTCGTCGTCGCCGTCGATCGTCGATCGGCGGCGTCGACTGTTGTCATCGTTGTCGATCGTCGTCGTCGTCGGTCGTCGGCCGCCGTCGATCGTCGTCGTCGTCGTCATCGTCGTCGTCGTCGTCGTCAATCACCGTCGCCAGTGGTCGTCTGCCTCTGGAGCCCACCCGTGGCCCTTCCGGGGCCACGGGGGCGGCGCCCGGTGCCGCGGGCGCCGCGGGAGGAGGGCCCGCCGAGCCAGCGGGCCGAGCGCCGGGCGGAGGCGGTCGGCCGGGGAGGCGGTCGGCCGGGGAGGCGGTCGGCCGGGGCGCCTCCGACGGGTTTTGCGGCCTCCTCGGGCGGGCGCCTCCGCCTCCGCCTTCTCCTCCTCCTCCTCCTCCTGCTCCTGCTCCTCCTCCTCCTCCTCCTCCTCCTCCTCCTCCTCCTCCTCCTCCTCCTCCCTCCTCCTCCTCCTCCTCCACCTCCTCCTCCTTCTCCTCCTCCTCCTCCTCCTCCTCCTCCTCCTCCTCCTCCTCCTGCTCCTCCTCACCCTCCTCCTTCTCCTCCTCCTCCGAGGAGGAGGCGGGCGCCTCGCGGCTGGGGGCCTCGGTCGGGGCGCCTCCTCCTCGTCTTTTCTTTCGTCTTGGGGAGACCGCTGGAATGATCGCTCGGGGCGTCCGCTCCTCCTCCTCCTCCTCCTCCGCCTCCGCCTCCTCCTCCTCCGCCTCCTCCTCCGCCGCTTCCTCCTCCATTTCTTTCTCCTGGTGAATAGCTCCTTCCCGTCGCACCCCGAGGCCAGTCAGGAGGGCGGGCTGGGCGTTTCGCCTGCGACGTCCTCAGCGCTTACAAGCCTGAAGCTTAGTGGAAACCGGCAGTCGTTTCACAGATGGAGGGCGGGTGGTTTTCACAATGTTGTTCTCGCCTTCGCGCCGCGCACATTCATTTAACAAAAATGACAAGAGCTTTACTAACTGAGGACGGACGGTTTTCAACATGCCGTTCTCGCTTTAGCGCCGCGAACACTCCTCTGTAAAGTTTGCAAGAGTTTCATGGATTGAGGGCAGATCGTTTTTGATGTGGCTTTCGCCATCGCGCCGCGCACAGTGGTGCCAAACTTTGCAAGAGTTTCGAGGATGTTCATGGTCAGCGTACCAGAACTGATGTTTTGGAACGATTCAGGACTGTCAGGGAGCAACAGTTGCGTTGATTTCTGTTTTTGAAGTTCCAGGAATGGTGTTCTGGCACAGTTCAGGATCGTCAAGACGCAACGGTCATGTTGCCCCTTTGAAGTCCTGCGAACTGGCGCGATACAGGATTTTCGCACTGCTGTCTCCCAGCCGGGCAGCTTATTCAGTGGTAATGAATATTTGTAGGGGCCTATGAAGACAGAGCTTGGAGGGAGGGTTTATTTAATCGCTTCGCTCATTCCGCCGGCCCATACAGTCTCATGTCTGCCGTTTGCCCGAGGGCTTGGTGTCAATGCGGCGCTTTGGGGGTTCCTGGGGCCGCTTGGGGGACTCCTGGGGCGCTCGGGGGGGCATTTGGGGGGCCTCCTGGGGCCGCTTAGGGGACTCTTGGGGGCCTCCTGAGGGCCTCGTGGGGGCCTCTTGGGGCCTCTTGGGACCTCTCAGGGGCCTCTGGGGTCCTCCTGGGGGCTTCTTAGGGCCGAGGGCTGGACATGTTGTGTCGTGTTCCCCCACTGGGGCCGCTCTTGGGGCGTTCTTGGGGCCCTCTTGGGCCGTCTTGGGGCCCTCTGGGGTCGTTTTGGGGCCATCTTGGCTCGTCGTAAGGCCCTTGTGGGGGGCTCTTGGGCACTCTAGAAGCGGTCTTGGGGGCCTCTTGGGCCGTCGTCGGGCGTTGGAAAG